TGTCATTGAATGTGTGTGTCAGTGTATGTGTGTGTGTCAGTGTTGTGGGGAGCGGCAGTGTAGCGGTTAGCGCGCTGCGCTACGAACCTGGCGATTATCTGAACCGGTCCTGGGCCTCCCCTAGGTCACCTCAGCCTCAAATTAGTACCCGGTGCGATGTGTAAACCTCGCCACTAGGGAGACAAAGGCGGCCGGGCGTTGTGCTGGCCACCCACCCCCTCGTGTGCCGTGCCGGCTTTCATAGGTGCTACTCGGTAACAGCACTTGCCCCTACAGTCTGTTAAGGCTATACGGGGGATATTTGTCTTGTGTGTGAGTTAGTAACGTGTCTCCCGAATGCTGATGCCACCCATCCACCCCCTCGTGTGCCGTGCCGGCCTGTTTCTGGGTGCTGTTCACAAACAGCACTCGCCCCCCCCCTGCTCCCCCCAGCAGCCTGTTGTAGGCTTCGCGAAGCGCGGGGAGGGGATCTTTGTCTTTGTGTGATCCGGGGTTGGGGGGAGTTGGGTGGAGGTAGCGGAGGGGTTAGCGCCACTGAGTTGGGTGGAGGTAGCGGAGGGGTTAGCGCCACTGAGTTGGGTGGAGGTAGCGGAGGGGTTAGCGCCACTGAGTTGGGTGGAGGTAGCGGAGGGGTTAGCGCACTGCGTTACGATCCCGGCCACAGCTAACATCAGTGCCGACTAAATATCCGATCCTGGGCCCTTTCATCGGACCGCACTCCTGACTCGGCGTGGTGAAGTATGGTCTTTCAGCCGTTGTTTTTGTATGTGCGGTATGGATTGTGTATTTGTTTGCCTATGTCATTTGCATAGATATGTATGTACGTGCGTGTGTGTGTGCACGTATCCACATGTGTTTGCGAATACATGCATGTAAAAGTATTCTTGTATATACTCTTTGGTTCTTTCGGTAAAGTCACGTAGGTATAAAATACATCACTTTCCCACCTGATGACGGACGCTTGTGTTTCGCCCGAAACGTCGTGATTTATTTCATTTATACCTCCGTGACTTTAGCGAAAAAACCAGAGGGTGTGGATTCCTGCAGCCACGAAAGCTTCAAATCAAGATATTCTTGTATACGTGTGTGTAAGTTACCGGGGAGCGTTAGTGCATCGTTAGCGCTGCGCTGCGCTATGAACCCGGAGTCCCGAGTTCGATTCCCGCTCACAACTCAACACCGGCGACAATTATCTGAACCCAGTACTGGGCCTCCCCTAGGTAGTCTCATACCCAAATAAGTTCGTTGGCGTGTAAACATCGCCACGAGCGAGACAAAAGCCGGCCGGGCGAGGTTGCTGGCCACTCATCCCGTCGTGTGCCCTTCCGCCCTTCGTAGGAGCTCGCTGACAGCACGTGCCCCAAAATGATGTAAAGGCTATACGGGGCATCTTTGTCTTTGTATGTGTGCGCGTATGTGTGTGTGTGTGCGTGCGTGCCATGCTTTATGAGCACAGGGTGATGGGGGGGTGATGGAGGATGGGGTTTGTATAGACGCGTGCAACTCGCAGATGCCGCGCGCCCTTCGCACAAAGCGTGGGGCACAATGTGGGAATTTACAACTGTGGGGTGGGGGGAGGGGGAGGTAGTGGGGGGAGGTAGTGGGGGGAGGTAGTGGGGGGAGGGGGAGGTAGTGGGGGGAGGGGGAGGTAGTGGGGGTTGGACAGAGGAGTTGTGGAGCCGCGGAGGCGACGGGGGTTGTTGATGGGTGTTCGACACTGCCCGTGGCCTCAAAGTGCACCTGGCCTGGCACATGCGCCGATGTGACGTCGCCGCAATTTAGTGGCGAATGGCGGTTGTTGTTGTTGTTGTTGACGGAGCTGCCCCCTTCCTCCGAGTGAACAACCATCGGGGTGACGTTTTTAAGTCACCATCATCAACATAATCGTCGTCATAATCCCATAGCTCTCGCTACATGAGCTTTCGAGAGCTAATTAGAGAAACGTGTAGAATAAAAAGCACTCTCAGCCCCTCTGTGCGTTCTGCAAAAAAAAAAAACTCCCCATCAGCACTTCCTGAACAAGTGCATTGCAGTCCTCTGTGAGTACATTGGTAACGATACTGTGCTGCTGCTGATGAACCCTAATTATGGCGAAACCGGCCTACGGTAGTCGTCTTATCGCTGCATCGCTGCCACTATCAGTCAGTCAGATTGGCTGAAATATATTGTGATATATTTGAACAAGCTCGGACTCAACTTAAATCACTCAGAATTAAATCTATTTGCTGATGACACTGTCAATGCGAGTATCATGTAAATCTCCAAGCTAAAGTCAAACAGAATCTCCAACACGATTTCGATTTAATTCAGCACCAATTGTAAGCACTAAGATGACTCAAATCCTCCAGGAGAAATAAACATTATGATTCTGGCCCACAATCCAGTTCTTCAAGGAACTTTTAATTTTTCTTTTGCATAATGCACAGAGGCTGTGTGTGCCTCTGACACGTGTTCGTGTGTTGTTCGAAGCGTAACTCCCCTGCACGCCACATTCCATGTCCCTGGTGTTGTCATTCCCAGATGTCCCTAATACGCGAGCCACTCCGTCTCCATTGGATCACAGGGCGGGTAGGGGAAAATCAATATAATCCATCAGAGATAATCCAATCAGTGTTATACGTTGAGGTTCTCTAAATCCTATCTGCGTCTCGCTGTGTCTCCATCAAATATAAATTGACGGGTTTGTTCGGAGAGAGGGAGAGAGCGCCCGAAGAGGACGACCACGGCGGAGACGGAGCAATTCGATCAATTCGTGTACCGGAGCGAGATGGATTGTGGCATCGCAGGTCTTCATCCAGCAGTGGATCGACAATGGCTGCTACTGATGATGATGATTATTAATATCTTGCCTCCGATCGGCACGGTTGGCTACGTACGGTGCGAAAGAAGTTCAACGTACATACTAGTTTGGCTGTGCCTGGTGGTGGCGGGTTTAACGACACATATTTACGCGATCTAACCTCACAAACCTATTGTACGGATACATGCATCAACATATATACTCGTACATAACAAATGATAATTACGACGGCGACAACTATGATCGCAATGACGATTATGATGATGACGATGACATCAGGGCAGTGGCATGGTCCCAGCGGTGGCGCGTTCGCCGCTTCTCGTTGTAGCAGCAGACGTTCGCGGTCCGAATCCAGCGGGCCTCCCTGGTTGCTACTGCGGTTGTGCGGTGTTAACGGGGAGATACCACGCGCCGTCTGCTTCGGTCACGGTGGACGTTAAAGGTCCCGTGACCACATTCGAAAAGGGCGTCCCCATTGGGTGTCGGCGTCACACTCCAAATGTGCCCACATTGGAGCATTTCCACTGCAAAAAAAAAAGATTCGATTTGGATTATGCATGGAACAATCGCCGCCTCGAGGACACTGGTGGAACCATCAACCGCATCATCAGAACATCACGGCCACCACCAGGCCGATGTTTCACCGCATTTCCTTCACCAATGAGAAATTAAAGACACGAGCCACCGGCGATGCTACTGCGACGTGCCAACTGTGGGCCATGCAGTCAAACCCAGAGAGACACATCGAGATCCACAGAGATCCACAGAGATAGAGTGACATAGAGACCCATAGAGATACATTCAAGACATGCCGCAGTAGTGCGATTTTGGCCCCATGCAACCCAAACTAGGAAGCATAAACTCAACCCACTGTAGTCTGCGCTCCCTCGACAGAGGAGGAATAGCAAAACTATACGATACTGTAGAGATGCCTATAGAGAGACCGAGATAGAGACCCATAGAGATACGTTTGAGACACAAGCCACACGAGTGCGACTGTGGTCGTGCATCCCAAGCTATGGACCGCGCAGTAAACCCATTGTGGTCTGCGCTTCCTCAACGGAGGAGGAGGAGGAGGAACAGCGAAACGACACGAACTCTCTCTCTCTGTGTGTGTGCTGAAGCCCTCTCGTCGTGGCCAGCAGCAGCAACAGCAGTAGAGCTCGACATTGGTTGGCATCTTGCTCCTGAACCACATCGCTGCCGCCATCATGCGCAAGGATAGTGTAGGAGCGAGCGTGAACAAAAAAAAAAGTTAAATAAATACTATTCGAGAAGAGATTGTATCCCCCCCCCCCCCCCCCCCCGAGAGCTCTCGCGGCCCATTTCGCCGCGATTAATTAAACGCCGGCTGATTATCGCCTTGGCTTTAGGTCGGGCAATTAAAGCTGTACAAATACGCGGCCGACTCACCACCCCCCCTCTCTCGCTAAGGATGCGTCAACAAACAGGGCCGTGTCTAATCAGAGAGGTTCCTGTCCCTTGTCTTAAACCTACATTCGTAATTAAGTCATTTGTTTTTATAACCCCCCTCCCCCTTACACTCACCCCCCGCCTTGTAGGGCATCACGGTGGCTAGGAGATGTTAACTACCTCGCCTGGTATGCAGGAGGCCTTGGGTTCGATCCCGACCCTGACGCCTGCTGCTGTATATTTGAAGTTTGCGGTGTCTCTCTCCCCGTGGTCGCGTGGATTTTTCTCTGGGCCCTCCGATTTAGAATCAACATGCATTTAGAATATTTGCCTGCTATATATTTCCACTTGATAGGCCATTTCTGTGAGCTATTAATTGTGGCCGGGTCGCTTCTGAAAAAGACCTCTATGACTCAAACGGCCTTACCTGGTAAAATGCAAATATTTTATTTTTTACTTAGTTTGTCAAACCGCTGCTGCATTGAAGGTTAAAGACCTCCACCCCCACCCACGAGCTCAGGTAGGGGAGTCAAACTCGGGTTGCCGGGGTTGTCATATCGCGGTGCGCGACCCACGCGAAGTGGTTGAAGTGGCCCAGCTATAAAAGGCTTTGCCACCTCCGAGGTACAACAAAAACGTGGGACATGTCGTGGGAAGAAGAGTACTGTGTCTCACAGCACCCGCGAGAAGGGTGAGAGCGATTGCGTGTGAATGCATTGTCGTGAGCGGTGCATTGTTACTCTTTATCATGATTACGCAAGTGGCAACATTTTTTTTTACTTCACAGGACAAGTTTCGAAAAACAGAGGTGACGTCCTGAGAAAATCAGAAGGTGGCAACCCTCGCCCCCTGCAGGAGTGGTCCGTGGCTCCAGGTTGAGGAGGCTTCGGAGTCCACCTCGGGGTTTCCAGGCTCAGCTGGACTCGTTGAGGAACTCGCATAGACCCACACGCTCACTCGCATAGTGACCCACAGACTCACGCAGAGACCCACAGACTCACATAGAGACCCACAGACTCATACAGAGACCCACAGACTCATACAGAGACCCACAGACTCATACAGAGACCCACAGACTGATATAGAGACCCACAGACTCACGTAGAGACCCATAGACTCACATAGAGACTCACAGACTCACATACAGACTCACAGACTCACATAGAGTCCCACAGACTGACATAGAGACTCACAGACTCACGTAGAGACCCATAGACTCACATAGAGACCCATAGACTCACATAGAGACTCACAGACTCGCATAGAGACTCACAGACTCGCACAGAGACCCATAGACTCACATAGAGACCCATAGACTCTCATAGAGACCCACAGACTCACACAGAGACCCAGAGACTCACATAAAGACCCACAGACTCACATAGAGATCCACAGACTCACGTAGAGACCCAGACTCACATAGAGACGCAAAGACTCATACAGAGACCCACAGACTCATACAGAAAGCCAGAGACTCACATAGGGACCCACAGACTCACGTAGAGACCCACAGACTCACACAGAGACCCACAGACTCATACAGAGACCTACAGACTCATACAGAGACCCACAGACTCATACAGAGACCCACAGACTCACATAGAGACCCACAGACTCACATAGAGACCCACAGACTCACATAGAGACCCACAGACTCACATAGAGATCCACAGACTCACATAGAGACCCACAGACTCACGTAGAGACCCACAGACTCATACAGAGACCCACAGACTCACGTAGAGACCCAGACTCACACAGAGACCCAGAGACTCATGTAGAGACCCAGAGACTCACACAGAGACCCAGAGACTCACACAGAGACCCAGAGACTCACACAGAGACCCAGAGACTCACACAGAGATCCAGAGACTCACACAGAGACCCACAGACTCACATAGAGACCCACAGACTCACACAGAGACCCACAGACTCACACAGAGACCCAGAGACTCACATAGAGACCCACAGATCAACATAGAGACCCACAGACTCATACAGAGACCCACAGACTGACATAGAGACTCACAGACTCACGTAGAGACCCATAGACTCACATAGAGACCCATAGACTCACATAGAGACTCACAGACTCGCATAGAGACTCACAGACTGGCACAGAGACCCATAGACTCACATAGAGACCCATAGACTCTCATAGAGACCCACAGACTCACACAGAGACCCAGAGACTCACATAAAGACCCACAGACTCACATAGAGATCCACAGACTCACGTAGAGACCCAGACTCACATAGAGACTCAAAGACTCATACAGAGACCCACAGACTCATACAGAAAGCCAGAGACTCACATAGGGACCCACAGACTCACGTAGAGACCCACAGACTCACACAGAGACCCACAGACTCATACAGAGACCTACAGACTCATACAGAGACCCACAGACTCATACAGAGACCCACAGACTCACATAGAGACCCACAGACTCACATAGAGACCCACAGACTCACATAGAGACCCACAGACTCACATAGAGATCCACAGACTCACATAGAGACCCACAGACTCACGTAGAGACCCACAGACTCATACAGAGACCCACAGACTCACGTAGAGACCCAGACTCACACAGAGACCCAGAGACTCACGTAGAGACCCAGAGACTCACACAGAGACCCAGAGACTCACACAGAGACCCAGAGACTCACACAGAGACCCAGAGACTCACACAGAGACCCAGAGACTCACACAGAGATCCAGAGACTCACACAGAGACCCACAGACTCACATAGAGACCAACAGACTCACACAGAGACCCACAGACTCACACAGAGACCCAGAGACTCACATAGAGACCCACAGACTAACATAGAGACCCACAGACTCATACAGAGACCCAGAGACTCACACAGAGACTCACAGACTCACACAGAGACCCAGAGACTCACACAGAGACCCAGAGACTCACACAGAGACCCATAGACTCACATAGAGACCCATAGACTCACACAGAGACCCATAGACTCAAACAGAGACCCAGAGACTCACACAGAGACCCAGAGACTCACACAGAGACCCAGAGACTCACACAGAGACCCAGAGATTCACACAGAGATCCAGAGACTCACACAGAGACCCCAGACTCACATAGAGACCCACAGACTCACACAGAGACCCACAGACTCACACAGAGACCCAGAGACTCACATAGAGACCCACAGACTAACATAGAGACCCACAGACTCATACAGAGACCCAGAGACTCACACAGAGACTTACAGACTCACACAGAGACCCAGAGACTCACACAGAGACCCAGAGACTCACACAGAGACCCATAGACTCACATAGAGACCCATAGACTCACATAGAGACCCATAGACTCACACAGAGACCCATAGACTCACACAGAGACCCAGAGACTCACACAGAGACCCAGAGACTCACACAGAGACCCAGAGACTCACACAGAGACCCAGAGACTCACACAGAGACCCAGAGACTCACATAGAGATCCAGAGACTCACGTAGAGACCCACAGACTCACACAGAGACCCAGAGACTCACATAGAGACCCACAGACTCACACAGAGACCCAGAGACTCACACAGAGACCCAGAGACTCACACAGAGACCCATAGACTCACATAGAGACCCATAGACTCACACAGAGACCCATAGACTCAAACAGAGACCCAGAGACTCACACAGAGACCCAGAGACTCACACAGAGACCCAGAGACTCACACAGAGACCCAGAGATTCACACAGAGATCCAGAGACTCACACAGAGACCCCAGACTCACATAGAGACCCACAGACTCACACAGAGACCCACAGACTCACACAGAGACCCAGAGACTCACATAGAGACCCACAGACTAACATAGAGACCCACAGACTCATACAGAGACCCAGAGACTCACACAGAGACTTACAGACTCACACAGAGACCCAGAGACTCACACAGAGACCCAGAGACTCACACAGAGACCCATAGACTCACATAGAGACCCATAGACTCACATAGAGACCCATAGACTCACACAGAGACCCATAGACTCACACAGAGACCCAGAGACTCACACAGAGACCCAGAGACTCACACAGAGACCCAGAGACTCACACAGAGACCCAGAGACTCACACAGAGACCCAGAGACTCACATAGAGATCCACAGACTCACGTAGAGACCCACAGACTCACACAGAGACCCAGAGACTCACATAGAGACCCACAGACTCACACAGAGACTCATAGACTCACACAGAGACCCACAGACTCACACAGAGACCCACAGACTTACATAGAGATCCACAGACTCACATAGAGACCCACAGACTCACGTAGAGACCCACAGACTCATACAAAGACCCACAGACTCACGTAGAGACCCAGACTCACACAGAGACCCAGAGACTCACGTAGAGACCCAGAGACTCACACAGAGACCCAGAGACTCACACAGAGACCCAGAGACTCACACAGAGATCCAGAGACTCACACAGAGACCCCAGACTCACATAGAGACCCACAGAGTCACACAGAGACCCACAGACTCACACAGAGACCCAGAGACTCACATAGAGACCCACAGACTAACATAGAGACCCACAGACTCATACAGAGACCCAGAGACTCACACAGAGACTTACAGACTCACACAGAGACCCAGAGACTCATACAGAGACCCAGAGACTCACACAGAGACCCATAGACTCACATAGAGACCCATAGACTCACATAGAGACCCATAGACTCACACAGAGACCCAGAGACTCACACAGAGACCCAGAGACTCACACAGAGACCCAGAGACTCACACAGAGACCCAGAGACTCACACAGAGACCCAGAGACTCACATAGAGATCCACAGACTCACGTAGAGACCCACAGACTCACACAGAGACCCACAGACTCACATAGAGACCCACAGACTCACACAGAGACTCATAGACTCACACAGAGACCCACAGACTCACACAGAGACCCATAGACTCACACAGAGACCCATAGACTCACACAGAGACCCACAGACTCACACAGAGACCCATAGACTCACACAGAGACCCACAGACTCACACAGAGACCCATAGACTCACACAGAGACCCATAGACTCACACAGAGACCCACAGACTCACACAGAGACCCATAGACTCACACAGAGACCCACAGACTCACACAGAGACCCATAGACTCACACAGAGACTCACACAGAGACCCACAGACTCACACAGAGACCCATAGACTCACACAGAGACCCACAGACTCACACAGAGACCCATAGACTCACACAGAGACCCATAGACTCACACAGAGACCCAGAGACTCACATAGAGACCCATAGACTCACATAGAGACCCAGAGACTCACACAGAGACCCAGAGACTCACATGTTTGCTCACACAAGCAGTGGGCATACGCCACGTGCTAGTTGTGTTTTGCTGAACATCTCCCCGCCCCCGCCTCCGTTCTGACCCGTGCAACCATCCCCCCCCACCGTAACCCCCAAAGACAAGCAAAGACAAAGATCCCCCTTGTAACCTTAACAGACTGTTGCGGCAAGTGATGTTAACGAGCACCATCCACGAAACCCGGCACGGCGCACTAGAGGGTGGTTGTGCCAACACCACGCTTGACCGCTTTTGTCACCCTCGTTGCGATGTTTACACACCGCAGCAGGTTTTTCATTTGAGGTTGAGACGACGTAGGGGAGGCCCAGGACCGGTTCAAATAATCGTCACCGGTGTTGGCCGTGAGCAGGAATTGAACTCGGGTCGCCGGGTTCGTAGCGCGCCCCCTCCGTCTTACCCCCCCCCTTATCCCCCCATCCCCTCCAGAACCCCAGACCTCCATTACCCCCTCTCCATCCACCCCCCACCCTAACCCTAATTAATACCCCCCCCCCACACCGTCCAGCCAACCCTAACATCCTCGTGTTATTCCGCCTGGCTGGCCCGCGTGAAATGCAGGGAAGTTCCTTGCAATGTATTCGTAATAAATAAAAGCAATCATCATCCTCGACATGGTCAGGGGTCGGTAACAACGATAACAAGAAAGAGA